AAGGCGGTCTTTTTAATAGGGAACTTAAAATTGACAATCTAAAAGTAAACCACATATACAAAATATCGTGAGAAAAAAGACTGGTTTTCTAAGTGCCTGTTAAGACCAAAATGATAGTATTTTTATACAAATTGTCTTGTATTCTATTTTTCTTGACTTAAAGACAGTATCTGCCTTTTAAATTTTTATTATTTTTGATATTTGCAAAGAATGATTGTAAAACTTGATTTCACTAAAATGGGGGTATTTATTCTTAAAAGACCGCTTTGCAAAATTAATAAAGTTTACTAGGATTAAATTTTTATTTACCTAAATATAATAATAACATCTTTAAAGAAAAAATAGCATGTAGTCAACTTACATTTTGAGAAGTTTTAAAACTCACTGTAAATTGTGATTTTTTTTTTCTGAATGACCTTAGTAGAATGAGCATCAAATATTAAATGGTATATTCCATGAAAAACTTCAAGTGAATGTGTTGAATATCATAGTTGATAACATTACAGGTACATGTATATGTGTTTTGGTGCTGAACTTAATGGAATTTTGCGAGGTATGCGCTCTAAGCATATGAATATAAGCATGCAAAGATATGTCCAATTTGAGCTTTTAAATAGTATATGAGTTACGATGGACAAAAAACTTATTTGTTTGAGAGAATTTTTTGAAACCCCTGGCTTACCTTAACATAGCACTGGAATTCTAGAAACGTAGTTTTGACGAGTTGAAAAAGTTTCAATTTAATTCAGAAGGATGAAGAGCGGTAATTTTGACGAAGTTCGTGGTTCCAATAAAAAATATAAAAGGAATTACCTCTCTTTGATTTCAAAAACCGATATCATAGTAAGTTCAATAAAAATGTTATCTCACCGAACTTTCAAACTGCTATCCAGAATGTGTATGACATTAAAAAAAACAATTTTGAATACCTAACAAATTATCTTTAAGATATAAATAATTCGCACAATATGCTGAAACTTCATAAACCCAGGTTCAAGCAATCCTGGGGTCATGTTTATAAAGCTACTTTTGCAATGCAATTAGGTTTGATTGAAATTAAAGTTAAAAAAAAATACCTCCTCTAGTTTTGATCGAGGTCACGAGGTAATTGTGGTAGACCAAGCTTACAAAACCCGTAAAAATGAATTTACCCAAGTCAGCATAGCTAGAGTATATTCTATAAGTTTATTATTTGATTACGAAACATGCCTGGGGTTTCAGTAAAATTAAAAATAAAAGAATTATGATAAATAAATAATTGTAATTATTACGAAAACCACTAAACAATTCATTGAGCTGAAATGACAATAATTGATATATATCCATTTTGATTCTAAATTTCTACAATATGTATTATTGTCTGTCAATTTACATATGTATTCTTTTCATTTACAAACATTCAATTTTCAAATATTTAAACCTACATGTAAATATCATAAATTTTTGCAAAGTACTTCGTGTGTCTAGCTACCCATTTGTTTGTCATAAAATCGTACTTGTCCTAGCTGTTAATTGCAATGAATGCAAATATAGCCCTTTTAAAGCCATTACCCAAGATGCATAAATATTTTGACTCAATACCTTACCTTAAAGGTATAGACCCAGGTCACTCTTTTATGTCAAAATGAAATGTGTAAGGATAATGACCAGTGTACCCTTGATTGCAATGAATTTAAAGTCTGCAACACTTGTCTGGGTACTCCACAAGGGGCCTAACCATGACGGCTCGCCATGGGTTTATGTAACTTTGCCATGCCTAAACAAGGAACGCCATGGTTAAAATCTGCAGGTGTCATGATTTTTTTTATTGCATTTCATGTTGCCAATTCTTATTTATAACCTAAATAATTTAATTGTTCTAGCACCTTGCTTCAGATAGATTGCTAAATAAACACGGTCGTTCCACGCTAGATGAATTGCTGTGAAGCATGACAAATTCCATGCAACTATGCTGATGATCATATAAGTAGAGAGTTCAAGTTTTCTATACCAAATACATGTAATTTTGGAGGAAATATGTCGACGGATTTTACCGTTATTTCCCAATCAAGACAAGGAGCACACGGCGGGTGTGACCAGTCGGCAGGGGATGCTTACTCCTCCATGGCACCTGATTCCACCTCTGATGTTTTGGAGGTCCGTGTTAGCTCTGCTCCTATTTTTTATTGTTTAATGGACTTTTGAGCTTGAATACTGTTCGTTATCTCCATATTTTCATGTGATATGTGCCTACTAAATGATTCACAAAATATGAAAGATTCAGTGTGCTGTAACTATGGCTCATATACAATTTACACGCATCTCAGCCTTCAGAGGTCAATGGCCAAATAGAGTTTAAATTTGAAATTGTCCTGCCTGCTCATATGTCCTTTGCATGGTAAATAACTTTTGAAAATTTCACTTATTATTATATTCCCATTTTCGTATAATGATGCATACCATATTGAGGTGTGTCATTACTTTAATGTGAAAGGTCGATTCCAACAATATCAAGTTTCCTACGTGAAACACTGAACTCAGTTTTAATTGTCATTGACCAGGGACTTTAGACTTAAAGATTTTGCCTTGAATTAAGACACTCGAACTTGAAATTATTCCAGTTTAGCTTTTCAAGGGTATTGACCGGACAGTATATCATTTTCTAAACAGCAACTATAGACCATTAATGATGATCTGTAAAATTGTTATTAACCTTTACGAAATGGGAACTAATACACTGGTTTGAATAGTGTCTGATTACTGTATATGACGGAGAAATGGCTTTTTCTATCTCTATGCTTATTGACCTTATCCATTGAATGTGACATTTATGCAAGATCCTGACAAACCGCTTCGTGGTTGGCAAAAAATTGATTTTCATTTCATTCAATCAAGGGTTTAAGCGTTATCGCCCGAACGTGATTTTGTTACAGTAAGAAAAACAATAATGCCAAAAACAAAGACACTGCTACCTTGCAGAGACATACAAGAGGCCCATGGGCCACAAAGCTCACCTGAGTCAGTATGAACCTGCTGCTTTTACCATCTAAATATTACTATGTAAAACTTTGATCACATATTGTGGCCTTATCTTACCCTCGGGGGTCATGATTAAAAAAAAAAAAAAACAACTGAACCTTGACTATCTGCAGATGCATCAATATACGTAAATATGATCTATCATTATTTTGCCGTTCTAGAGAAGATATCTTAAGTTTTTTCCTTTGTATTCCAATGTAAAATTTTGATCGCTATTTGTGGTCCTACCCTTCCCCTCGTTGTCATGGTTTAAAACAATTGATTTTACACTACCTTATGATGCTTCCATATAAATATGACTACTCATTGATTTGCTGTTCTTGAGAAAAAGATTCTTAAAGGGTACTACAATATTTTCTATGTAAAACTTTGATCGCCCATTACAGCTTTACCCTACCCCCGTGGGTCATGATTTAAACAAGCTTGAATCTACACTAAATGCAGATGCATCCATATAAATATGACTAACCATGTTTTGCCGTTAATAGCTTTCTTGTTCTTGAGAGGAAGATTTTTTAAAAGATTTTTCTTTTCCTATGTAAAACTTTGATCGCCCATTGTAGCCGCACCCTACCCCTGGTTGTTATGATTTCAACAAATTTGATTCTACACTTTCCGAGAATACCTCCAAATAAATAAGACTAATCATGACTTTTCTGTTCTTGAGAAGAAGATTCTTAAATAGTTCTCCAATATTTCCTATTTAAAACTTTGATCGCCCATTTTGCCCTACCTACCCCGGGGGTCATGATTTTTTTTAAAAACTTGCCTTCCATATATATACAAATATTACCTAACACAGCTTTCTTAAATTGTTCTTGAGAAAGGCTTTTTAAAGACTTTGTCTATACATTCCTATAAAGCTGACCGCCCATTTTTGCCACACCCTACCTCTTGGGCTATGATATGAACAAATTTAAATTAAATTTACATTATGCAGTAAAGCTTTCATATATAAGTCAAAGCTTTTCTGGCCCTGTTGTTATTGAGGAGAGAATTTTTAAATTATCCAACCCAATCTTCACTATTTTTTAGTTATCTCCCCTCGCAAGAGATTGTAGAGCTTCGTTTGATTAAACTTAAATTCCCTTCACCCAAGGATACTTTATGCGAAATTTGGTTGAAATTGGAGTTGTTCTGGAGAAAAGATGAAAATGTAAAAAGTTTACAACAACGATGTTAGTAGACATAGGGCAAATTTTAAACAGAAAACCCACTTTTGCCTACGGTTCGGGCGAGCTACAAAGGGTGCGACATAACGTAAGCTGCACTGATACTGAAGACATATCAGCCTGAACTGAGTAATTGACTTGCTTTTTTTTCAAAATGCATTTTAGAATTGGCAAATGAAATTGATTTGATAATATTCTAAATAAATCGAATTAAAAATAAACAACTATATGATATCATTCTACTTTAACAAAAATGCAATGTTGAAAGCACGCTCCATAGTATTTAAGGATGCGTGTTTTTTTAATCTTAGGGTATTCTGCTAAATGATAATTATGCGAATTCAAACAAACAGTTCTTGATAAATTATTTATCGTTTGTTTGGGTTCCTCTATCTTAATTAAACTGATGACTGATGATTACCATCTTGCTTATTATCATTTTTCAAGGTAAAAGGTAATTTTTTTCTCTTATTTGCCTTTTTAACCTTTAAATATTAATCAATGGTCTTAAACATCAAATTTGAAGCTTTTTCATGATTAATTTCATGTTAAATTTATTCATATTAAAATAACAATCACATAACGTACTATAAAAATAGTAAAATAATACATTTCATATGATAAATTTATCATAAAAAGTAAGAAAAAAAAGGTTGATCAAGTGTGGAACAAATCTGTGTAAAAAAGGGGATTAAGACGGCAAAAGCTCAACTTCATCTGTGTAATTGCCAACACTTTTACATCTGTTCTCTATTCAGCTCTTGATCTATTTCTCCAGATGAAGTAGATATTGCTCACGTGACGGCTTGACTCACAGCGTACAGGAGCACACATATCTGATCTATAAAACATGAAACGAAAGAATGAACACCGGTTTTATAACATCTACTGAGTATTTGTGTATTATGGAATGAGAAAACTCCCACCAGCCATCAAAAATCTCAGAAGCTAGTCGTGACTGGGTAAGTATGCTGTTATTAGTGTGTTATATCATCTTTAGTAAGATTGACGTAGACGTGCACTCAATTATCTTGAATTGTGTTATTTGCAGGATCAAAAAGGCTATATATACAACGATATTCATTGATTGAAAAAGCTATAGCAACAATCTTTTACAACCAATAGTTTTCAAAATTACATAGTGTATTACCCCCATGGGACATTCTTAATATTCTGAAGTCATGATATCGTAACTTATAGACATTTTTTTTCCTTATTCTCTTTAGGATGTAGGCGAAAGCCTGTCCACTTCTCTACAGAGATTATTTTTTTCCTACTTGAAAAAGTGATTCTTTATTAAATGATAAGTGTGACTTCTATTGAAAGATGTGCACGGAACATAGTCTGATCATTTGATATTTTTTTAGGCCCAGCTTTGTTTTAAACCGAATGGCTATTGATTGAAAACCATACGTTCGCTTTAAGGATACAATCGTTCGCATTGTATCTTCTCTTTTCACAAATCTGATTAATTAATCCATTGTAGAAACGCCTCATGGGTAAAGGATTTATTGCAATCAATATAATTTGTGTTTCAACAATATCGAAAACATTATGATTTGCTTTTGCTTCCACTATGACGAGCATGGTCACAATTGCAAGAGCAGCTAATTTTGTTCATATATATATATATATATATATATATATATATATATATATATATATATATATATATATATATATATATATATATATATATATATATATATATATATATATATATGTTTACATTCAAAATAAATTCAAATTTTACAATGTATTTTAAATTTCAAGACAGAAACTTGCAGAATACACTAAATTAAATTATAACCCCTTTCTGTCGTAATCCATGAATTACATTGGGATTTTTATAGACAACAAATCTCAAAACCGTCTCAAACGAGTGGAAATTGTTTGCAAGGAACGTAAAACAACACAACCAATCAATCAAGCAATGAAATAAAAAGATAAATTCCTCGTTAATTATTTTTACGAATAGATAGGAAAATCGTTGTACATGTACTAGTCTAATCAATTTTCTTTAAACATGATAACCATGAATGGATTTAATGCTATAAAAAATCTTTCTGAGGCATTTAGCAACATTTTGCGAAAATCGATTTGTATTTATTTCAGAACATGTTTCAAAGCGACTGAATTTTATGTGAGGAATATACAGGACTATCTTTAAATGAAGAAATTGTGGCAATATGGCAGCGACTGCAAAGAAGAGACGAAACGTGATTATAGCAATGGATGGAAGTGACGCCTCGCTTAATGCATTTAATTGTAGGTATCGGAATTCAACTGTGGCTTTGTGTAAAATGATCCTTTATAAGCAGATTGAAAATTTCTGACAGCTTTCATTTACCATACGTGATATTCATGAATAATTCATACAAGTATTGCTACTAGCACGTAAGGGACGTTTCTGTGTGTTACAAATATTTTCCCCCGATTGACCTTGATTTATTTTTATTTAAGAGGATAGCGTGGTCATAGACATTTTTGAATAAATAACCTCCTGGAAAAATTGTTCGGTATAGAATATAGTAAATCACGTTAAATATAATATTATAGTGAAAACAAGCGTTGTTTTTTCTTTTAAAAAATATATAATTTTAAATAATAGTAATGGATAGGAAAATAATATTTCATTTTTTGTTGGATCTGTTGGGTAATTTGTTGACCACCTAACCTCGCTGGAATGAAAATTTTATATCATAATTTTTAAACAAGACAGGTGACTTTTCATGTTTCATATTTAGTTCAAGCTGACAATACTTTTCATTATTAGAAAGAATTAATTTTATTTAAAACCAACATTTATATGCTAACTTTAGGGTATCGAACAATGGCCCGAATGGAAACTGATAGGATAACTTTGGTTCATGCTGTGGAAATATATCGCTCTATATACACTTCTCCATTATTTCATGGTAAGATAAACATTATTTATTCTTCTTACCAATCATATACAATTATGTTATTTCATCAATATATTTTTTGCATGATTATTGATATAGATATTTAATGCCAAGTATTATATCTATTTTTCCTGGTTATTGGGCAGGCAAAATGTAATTTTAAAGCCTTGGATATTTCTAATCAAATGCATATGATATTTCATTTATTTCAACATCACGATAATATTTAAAAAATAAAATAAATGTATTTTAAATGCAGACATTCCATTTGCGGTTGATGTAAATGCTGTAAGAAAAGCTTATGCAGACCATAAAATAGAGACTGAAAACAAGTTGTACGACCTAGCTCTCTTGATGAAAGCGTACTGTGTAAGTATATTGGATCGTAACAATCAACTGTAGTATACTCTAGCTCTATTGATGGAAGCATTTTTGTACATTAGATAATGAATTATTGCAAATTGAATTATCTAGTTCCATTGTTGAAGCATATTATGAAAATACTTTATCACATCTAGAATATTATACAATTATACAATCCAGCTTATAAAGTGGAAGCATGTGGTATATATACGAAATATCTTGAATCATATTCACCATTCGAGTTTAGATATATTGATGATAGTATACTCAAGTTTACTATCTATATTAATTGTATGTAGATTGAGGGAAAAGTCCGCAGTGTACATGCCGACGATCCTGGCGAGGGACTAGTTCGTATAGCGGAGGAGTTAGAAGCTGACATGATAGTGATGGGAACACGTGGGCAAAGCACCATGAGGCGGACAGTCACCGGAAGTGTTAGTGACTATGTCCTTCATCACGCCACAGCCCCAGTTCTTATTTGTCCACCAAAACACGTACTAAAGTAGTGAATCAACTGGAAAACATACTATTAAATATTTGAAATACAATAATACTTAACTGTGCCAAGAGTCATTCTTTCTTGTAATTTCCTGTATATAGTATCATTAGATATAATTTATTTTAACCTACCTTGGCAATTTCACTGTATGTGTAATATTATGTATTGAATGAGGATTTTATTCAATTAAGACAGGATAAATTTCATGAAGGATTGAGAAGGAATGGAATCTAAAATCATTTGTACATTTTACTTGATCTATAACATATGGCATAATTTCCATCGAGTTTTGATAAGTAGCACAATAATTTTTTTCCCTGGCATATATTATTAAGCTTGAAAAAAAAGAAACACGAAAATTTAATTTTATTAGTCAACAATTTTTAAAGAAATTAATAAAAATTATTATATTAAAAGGTAGATATAACTCATTTTCTCTACAACACTTGGACGAAAAAATTAAGGAAGACTCAAGAAAGCATAGAAAAACATTAATGAATTAAGAGTTATCTTTCCTGTTATACCGTTAGTCACCACATATGTCATCATAGCCAAGTTACTTATATTTGGCCACTGAACTGGACAGATATAAATGAACAAAATTTGAATTGCACACTATTCATAAATATTTATAAACACGCGATGAGATACGTATTAATGAAACGCGAAAGTCAGTGGGTAAAAATAACTTTCACAACAGATTTTTTTGACGATAACGCAATGGATTGATAAGTATTAGAAAACTAAAACATTTTCTGATAGATGTACCTATTATTTACGAATTATTATGCTATGGAAACTCAAACACTTTTTTCTTTCGGTCACACCATGACCATGTCATCTATTCATTGTTTATGATTAGGGTGTCGCTCCCACGTTTGTATGACTCTCTTACAGGCAGTCTAGGGCAAATTGTCAGAGAACAAACTATACAAAACCGGAAGTTAAAATATTTTTTCTCGAGAAGTCAATGTGTGTGGAGGACCCTTAAAACAATTAATACAAAATTAGACAAAGCAAACGCGGACCTTAAAAAACACATCAGAGGTGGGATCAGGTGAAATGGAGTAAGTATCCCCTGTCCACCGGCCACATCCGCCGTGTGCTCCTTGCCATGATCGAGTAAACGAAAAATCCGTATACAAAACAGTGAGAAAATACTAGTAATGGTCTAAGAATTTTTAGAAAAACGTCTGTCAACATTCGACATAATGATAGATTGTATTTGTTGACAAGGCCATTGCATCGACCACAGAATCTTAGAGATGTTAATTGACTTAAAACGAGACTGTTGATTGTTCGTACGTAGAGCATGCTCTTGAGTTCCCAGTCAACTGGGAAACTTGAACTCCATATACAGGTGATAATGGTATATTGCTACATAAATAAGCGAAGTTGACGTTAGAAAATTGAAATTACGTTTATCATAAAGTTTTGTTTTTAGGTTACTATGAACGTTTTCTTTTTCTTTTTTTTTTTAGTAAAATATCCAAATATGAAACAGTTGTGTCAGACTCTGTGGCATCTTTTATTTCGAGCTCAAAGGGATATATCGAATCACTTAGGAGTAAAAATGAATATTGATAAGGCCAAATAAAAAAATATGTGTGGTTCCGGTTACCCGACCGTCCCTATTTTATACCCCCGACCCTAAGCTTTTTTTTGGGGGGCAATTTTCTAATTTTTTTCGGAATTTTCCCCAATTTCCATCAATAGCTTCGGTTTAAGTTTTAGTTTCAGCAATGACGGCCTCCTTGCAAAACATAGTGCAAGTGTTTAATAGTTTTAAATCCAAAGCAAGCTAGCATGTAGGTGTCCCCTACCAATATTGACTAGTATTTTATCACACCACATCTAAATGCCACTTGCAAAGCAGTGATAGGTATTATTTAGAATAATTAAAAAAATCATTTAAAAAAAAAAATTCCCTACCTACCTACCCTAATTTTTTTGGTGGTGTAACCGGAACCACACATATTTTTTTATTTGGCCTAATAGATAAAACGCTGTCGATGTATGTAAATGTTGAATTGAAGGTCACCGCAAGAGACTTTTTATTATGTAGAAGTTTTTCAAACAAAATCCGCTTTATATGAATACAAAAAAAGGTCTAATAAGAACAAGACGCAATTAGTAACCATGGGTATTCCGACAAATTGTTCGGAGACTTGATCTCCTAAAACTTCATAGATATTGTCAATCAGAAACTCAAGCATCTTTTTAATATCAACTTCAGAGTACTTTCGTGCTCAATCAGAATGTTTTTAACAAAATAATTTTGTAATTGACCAATGACAAGGTAAAATGTAAAGAAAACATCAGGAAGAAATTATTAAATTTAAAGAATACTTACCAGGGTTATCCATGAGCCGCATTAAAATTCCTTAGCGCCACATTTTAAAAAATCAGCACCTGTTCTGCTACAGTTTAATATTAGTGCCACAGTAAGATGATCGTCAATTAATAATAAATTTATAAATTTCAAAGTGAACCTTCAAATTGTGTACCCTTTTAACTTTCTAATTTAAACTGTTAATGTACTCTGACTAATTACATGTAGCGTCCATTGTTTGGCTCGCACAATCAATTATCTTCTAGACTTCGCGCATGAATAAACAGAGATAAGCCTTTTTTTCAATACTTCCCAGTAACTGCAGTTGAAGTTTTTTAATACCAATTAATTACTTAGCAAAAAATACTATAGATAACCACACCTCTAAAATTGTATTGGCACTTCCAGTCAAACATTGTACGTGTATCGTAATCATGTATTGATCACTATTAATGCAAAATTAAAAAAAAAAAATTAAAGGTATATCCATTAAAATAGTATTTAATGACTCTAAACTGCTAAAGTGTTCTTTTTTCAATTAACAAGTTTTAAGATACTTCAGTCATTTGAGATCAATAATTGCAAATACATGTACGAAGATGAAAGCGTGATTTTGTGACCTACCAGAATTTTCTCTGCCATTTATTGAACACTGTACAAGGTGTTTAGTTCACTGTTATAAACAAAATAATTGTTTTTAAATATCGGAGGTAAACACTAAAAGATTGCTATTACTTGTAATTTTTTCTGTAAGTAGAAATTTCACACTTTTTATATGAATTATTAAATGTACAACGAACATAATTATCTTTTTTTTTAAAGTTTATAAATAGTTATTTTGAAAATAGTTTCTTTTAAAAATTTCTATTCAATGAAGTAATTATATACTTAGTAAATATTAAATGTGATCTGAAAATCATCTGAAGCAAAGTCATGATTGGTCATATGTACATGGAAGCATGACTAATCATGGCTTTACTGTTTTTGAGAAGAAGATTTTAAAGATTTTCCCTACGTATTCCGATGTAAAACTTTAATCGCCGACTTTGGCCCCGCTCTACCCCCGGTTTTCATGATTCGAACAACCTTGAATCTACTATATCTGAGGATGCTTCCATATAATAATGATCAATCATGGTTTTGCTGTTGTTGAGAAGAATATTTTTCAAGATTTTCTCTATGTACTTCTATTTAAAACTTTGATTCCCAATTGTGGGCCCACCCTACCGACGGAGGTCATGAATTTAACAACCTCTAATCTACACTTTATGAGGCTGCTTCCATGTACATATGACCAATCATGACTTTGCTGTTTTTGAGAAGAAGATTTTTAAAGATTTTTCCTATGTATTCCTATGTAAAATTTTGATCGCCCACTGTGCCCCCCCCTCCTACCCCCGGGGGTCATTATTTAAGCCACCTTGAATCCAGACTATCTGAGGATGCTTCCATTTAAATTTGATCAATCATGGTTTTGCTGTTGTTGAGAAGAAGATTTTTCAAGATTTTCCCTTCATGTATGTATTCCTACGTAAAACTTTGATCGCCATTTGTGATCCAATCCTACACCCGGGGGTCATGATTTGAACAAACTTGAATCTACACTACCTGGGAATGCTTCCATATAAATATGAGCAGTCATGACTTTGCTGTTCTTGAGAAGATTTTTTAAAGATTTTCGAAATTCTCTATGTATTTCCTAGTAAAAATTTGATCACCCAATGAAGCATGGATCATCCCACCCCAACTAACTAGTTTGGGGGGGGGGGGGTCATCAACGCCTCAGGTGCCTGTGATAAAACACGTGTTGTTTTGTGCAATTTCAGATTAAATTTCAATGAAACACTCCAACATCAAGAATAGTTGCATATCCACTTTATTAACATATTTTTTTTCCTAGTGTTTAAAGCAAGTAGTACGCGTTGTGTTCATTTTTTATATGCTACACACAAACAGAGAGGAGAACTTGTGTGTGTGTGAGGGAGGGTATGGGTGTGTGCGTGTCTATGTGTGTGTGATAAACAAAAACGTTAATTTATAAAGGAAAGTAAAAGGCAATAATAAATCTATCTGATGAATAAGGAAAACGTTATCCTAGCTACTCAATTTCCCTTCTATCATTATATTTCATTATATATGTAGGAAATATCATGATCACTGAATGAAGCTATATATGGCCAATGTCTGCATTTGAAAATCTTAATACATGAAGATTTTAACACTGAAAATAATCACGAAGACGAGATCCCTCATAGATGAAACGTTCCTTTTCACATATCATGTAGAAAGGGGCAGGCTTTTTAATAGCATGTTCGTGCAGCCCGTCTGATTTATTTGCTCAACTTGGATTATCAAAGGAGCATAAATACATGTAGGTGTTCCTGTATCTGCTTCTTACAGCTACATAATTACCTAAAAATACAAACAATCACAAACCTGTAAATTTATATATATATATATATATATATATATATATATATATATATATATATATATATATATATATATATATATATATATATATATATATATATACTTATAAATTAATACATTTTGCAAATAAACTCCGAAACGGATGCACCAGAATTTTTACCTACTCCTCTAAGAATACACTAGATACAAGATGATGTCCGTAAACTATATTTAGATTTCACTCGCATTGTAAGTATCGTACATTAAATTAAAATTCTACTTTTATTTTCTATAAACAGCCATGAAATAGCAAAAACATG